GCTCAGAAAGGCAGGGCGTGTAGTTCAGAAACCAGAGGGACTTAGTTCAAAGGACCGGCAGGATTGTGAAAAGCACTGAAAGGTCTTCAAGGTGGCTACTTCAGCTCAAAACCCCACATAGACGTGGAACACTCTCGTAAAGAAGCTCTGACGCTTTGTGTCTTAAGTGGTGAATCACCGCACATTTTGTTTCGTTAGAATGCGTCACACTAATGAGTTGTCAGCTTGCAGAACTGCGATGGCCGTAACTGAACCCGTTCCCAAGTTATAGTGTGACGTCACCGTGAGCTCCTTTAAACCCGCCCCGAGGTTCGGCTGGTAAATCGAGTCGACAGAGTAACAGGCTGCCTGTAATGTCATATGCCGGACCAATTTGAAGTAATCACCGGACTTATTGGATCTCTGGCTCCAGTGCTAACGAAATTATTGTCGCTCGCGGCAATATTTCGATCACAGTCATGGACGAAGAGCTTCTTCCAGGACACCATCTCCGTGTGGACGTGGAAGCCTTGTACAGATCGTAGTAGGCCAGTTGATAAGAATGCAGCTTATCAAGAGCCCTTCTCGACGGGAAAGGTTTCACGCTGTGCGGCTCAAATCATTATCATGTTCGGCTCAAATCAAATCGTTATCAACTCACGCTGTGCGGCAAGCGAGGAATTAGGTGGGACGTCACCCAAGAAGACTGTCTGCTAAGTATACTACCCATCGGTACATTGGGTTTCACTGCGTGGGAGTCGGCGGCCCGGTGTCAGTATTAAGCTGGGCATACCTGTCAACAGCGATTACCACGGCCGGTGCGCTCGAGGTTAAAGCTTGGTTTCTGGCGTGAAGGGTTCAGTTTTGAGCTCCGGTAGCACCACGGCTCTTGGCGTCGATATGGCTACCGAAACTGCATGTTTTCCACAACAAACAGCTAACTGTGCCGTTGGAGGAAATCTAATTACACTCGTACAAATTATTACCATTCGGCGATGAAAACAGTCGTTCCCAGCGTTCAGTCCGGCTCGTAATTATGCACGTCTGTCTCGAATCACTACTCCTGCCGTAATGCTGCCCCCCCCCCCCCCCCATCACGTCAGAAGCCCTCCAAGCAGCAAACAATCTTTCACCTTTCATCCGCGAACCCTTGCCGGAGGCGCGGTGTGCTGAGAGCCCTCGCCGCTATTGTCGTCGCGTCGCCTTCATCGTCGGCATCGACCGTCGAGGGGGCGCAGTCTCGACGGGCGGGCCGGCCTCCCAGCCGACTCGATCGCCACAACCGAACACGCCGCTCTGAGGCGAGTCAGGACGGCGGGCAGTGGAGTTGAAGCCACGTTAGCGAAGGCAGGAGTCAGGACGGCGGGTATGGGGGTGAAGCCACGTTAGCGAAGGCGGAGTCAGGACGGCGGGCTAGTGGGGGTGAAGCCACGTTAGCATGGGCCGGAGTCAGGACGGCGGGCAGCGAAGATGAAGCCACGCTAGCATCGGCAGGAGTCAGGACGGCGGGCAGTGGGGGTGAAGCCACGTTAGCGAAGGCAGGAGTCAGGACGGCGGGTAGTGGGGGTGAAGCCACGTTAGCATCGGCCGGAGCCAGGACGGCGGGCAGTGGGGGTGAAGCCACGTTAGCATGGGCCGGAGTCAGGACGGCGGGCGGTGGGGGTGAAGCTACGTTGGCATGGGCCGGAGTCAGGACGGCGGGCAGCGAAGATGAAGACACGCTAGCATGGGCAGGAGTCAGGACGACGGGTAGTGGGGATGAAGCCACGTTAGAGCCAACGTTAGAAGGCACGCATCCATGTCATAAAGGGCAAAGGTTAGGAGCGTCACATAGACTTCGCACTTTTGGGGGCGACCAAAGATTGGTGTCAGGCTGGTGCTCTGCAAAAGATAACCTTCCGCTTGGGGCTCGGGTGAGGGGGGGGGGGGGCGGGAGAGGGGAGAACTTAGCCGAAAACACACTAGAACCGTCTCCGATCCAGAAGAGACTCTGAAAGTGTCTTGGGCACCATGGGGTCTGACATCTCGGTTACTGACGATGCCGTTGAGCCAGGCACGCTAACGGCTAACCGGATAATCATCGGCTCATTCAGCTGACGGGCAGCCTCCCGCTGTATGGAGGTGCTCTGCGTATCAGCGATGAGTGACTGACTTGGGTGGAGGGTAGAGATGGATGGAGGCAAAAGGAGCGAGTCACCATGTAGCACCGAATATGGATATCGACTCACGTCCTTTGGACCCCATTGCTGTGTATGCAAAATGGAGCTTGTGTCTTCAGTAGTCGAGATGCGACCTTTTGTCCTTTTGTGACCTCGTTCGAGGGAACATTAGAGACCTCAGAAGTTACTCGGAATTCCCGAAGGTTTTCTTATCCAGAATTTAATGGAAATTCTACTCCCAAGCGATTGTGGAAAAAGGCGCGCGACGCTTAAATTTTTGGCTGTTATATCTACAGTTCTGTTCCGAAAAACCTTCTGTGAACTTACAAAACCGGCGCTTGGTAAGCTCAGGACCGACCGTTAATGGCATGGCTACCCCGGGGGCTGTTGTCGCTCGCTATTTATGTTCAGACCCGAGAGGCAACGTACATTGGTAGCAAGGTAAGGTATCGTGTAAAGCACTGTCCACCATCGCCTTTGTGCTAACTTACAATAGTAAGGCCCGATGCGATTTTATAATGAATTCTACCTTTAAGGATTCTACCTTTAAGGATTCTAACTTGCTACATTGGTAGTAAGGTAGGATATCTTATATAGCGCTGTTCGTCATCATGTTGCGCTGGCCTAAAATATTAAGGTCTGGTGCAATTCTATAATACATTTTACGTTTCAGGATTCTACCTTTTATGATTCTACCTTTCAGGATTCTATCTTGCTACATTGGTAGCAAGGTAGGATATATTATAAAGCGCTGTTCGCCATCGTTTTGTGCTAGCCCAAAATAGTAAGGCCTGATGCGCTTCTATAATAAGTTCCACCTTTTAGGACTCTACCTTTCAGGATTCTACCTTGCTATATTGGTAGCAAGGTAGAATACCCTATAAAGCGTTGCTCGCCATCGTTTTGTGCTAGCCTAGAATAGTAAGGCCTGATGTGATTCTGTATTAGGTACTTACCAACACGCAGCCAGAATTTACTTCGGAGGTCAAATGAAGTTTTTCTCAAAACTTGCGAGTTCGGAGCAAGTTCCTGCAAAATCACTTAGAATGTAATGTAAGATTTTTGGCTACCGAGAGAGTGGAGTGCAAGGAAAAGGGGGCGGCCCCGTTGGTCCTCCCTTCGGCTACGTCCCTGATGTTTACCAAATGCGTTCATTTAAGGCAGGCAACGTCAATTGTGTAAGATGAGGAAATTTCCAGGGCATAGCTAACTGATCTTTAAAACCAGGCTTGAAACATCAGCGGTTAGTGTACGCGATGTAATGATGCCATTAGCGAAGACTGTCCATTAACGCTTATATCGCCTCCGTTAGATGCCTGCCCTTTTGGATAAAAGGTTAGTGTTACGATTTACGCAGACTAGTGTTGGCCCGCATTGTATACGCCACAAACCATAACCACTGATGCAGCACGATCATTAAAGGGTTCAGAAAGTCAATGGCTCACATCCAACACCGCTCTCACCGTCATGTAAGCCCACAAAGCTCTCTACGTATGCATAGCTCTGAAGCCTGAATATGGTATGTGCCGAGGGATAAATTCAAAATGTTCCGTGGTTCTGAAGGCAGAGATGTTAAGGCTTCCATTCGCATTTTTTATTCTGTTCATCCTGTGCAGTCATCATCTCTCAGTTCTTCCGGTGTTCATTGGCGCTCACGCGCACAGTTTCAACGCAAGCCATCGGAAGCCACCTTTCGCTTGAATCTAACGTGTTTACCGGTTGAGATAGTTGGAGAGGAGGGTGGGGGTAGGGGGGGGGGGGGCTGTGAGAATGTTGTCGGATGAGAGTTGGGCAAACAATACTCCGGCGAGGAAGGGAAACTCAAGATAACAACGAAAGCCCCAACGTGCTAGCGTCCTGGAAGGTTATGTTGTTTTGCAATTCATTGCAAGCTAAGTTGTTTCCACGCATATGTCTAACTCTGCATCAAGCGCAACGCTTCCGAAAATAGCAATGATGTAGCATCTTGCTTACAACAGCAAACAAGATGGCATTGAACTCCGACAGGTGTTGTATCATGCATTTTTTGTCACGGCCAGGAAACCATTAGCACCACCGAACGTCATGTTCCAAAAGGAGCCTACAATCAAAACTAAGCTCTTTGTTGTAGCATAGCAAATGTTAGGTCATGGCAACCGTATCTAGATGAGATTGATACAAATTGAGCGAAAAATCTGTACATGATCTACGTCATGAATAAGCTCCATCTGGCACAGGAGCAGCTTGCCTGGATTAATGTTGCTTACCTGCGACTATTTCTGGACTATTATGCACAGGTCTGCTCATGCGGGACTCAATGCCAAGGCGGCGCAACATACTGACAAAGTGCGGAAGAGAGCCTGGACAACTGTCTTCAATCGTACGGAAAAATACTCGAACATCCTGCAACGGCTGAGCATGGAAACCCTCGCTGACAGAAGGAAATACTATGCTTCACGCTAGGAAAGCAAATGCAGGCTTTTCTTAATCAACTCTCTTCCTCTCTCTCTCGTTTTCTCTCCCCCGCTCTCTTTCTCTCGCTCTCTCTCCCCCGCTTCCTCTCCCCCCCCCCTCTCTCTCTCTCTCTCTCTCTCTCTCTCTCTCTCTCTCTCTCTCTCTCTCTCTCTCTCTCTCTCTCTCTCTCCTCTCTCTCTCTCTCTCTCCTCTCTCTCTCTCTCTCTCCTCTCTCTCCCTCTCGCCCTCTCTCTCCGGTTTGGTGCATTTGCTCCACGAACGCGTTCACGATGTTGCATGAAGTAGCGGCGACTGTGCATGAGACGCAAAAACATACACAACTTGCGGAAGGCACCGCGGGTGCTACGTCCAGCAGCGTGACAAAGTGTAGTCTAAACTTGCACGTATATCATAGGCGTGTGTATTATCATCTGGGTCCCCACGCTCAACCAACGCCATCAGCATCCAGTTTCGTGACGTCAAACCACTAACATTTTGTTATCCACCACCATACAAAGCGGCTCGTTCAAGCATCGTCCCCAGAAAGCGGCGAGGCGGCAACCCGCGCACTCCCACACGGACATTGAATATGCTTACACCACCCAGAAACGGATACAGTGAACATCAAACGCACCGGCCCGTCGCACGCAGGTCGGCGCAGTTGCAATCGTAGCGAGCGCGCAATCTTCTGTTCACCGGAACGCAATACGCAGGCAGCCGCAGATGCCTTCTCTTGATGGGCCTCCGCCGCTGAGATCTGGAGGAAATTGGATTCTGGACGACTTTGATGCGCGACAGAACACAGATTTACGGCACATTTGGCCAGTCTCGCGTGGTCTGGACACGAGAGACAGGCAATTGTAGCCCAATGAAGCATGTTCAGCCCACACGGCTGGATCTTACCAACTCGCCGCCCGCGCCAAACCGATCTGGCGCAAATCTGGCAGCACATAGACCGATCTGGTGATAGTATCTTAACCAGACGCCGCTAGACTCAGCCGACCGAAGCAGAAAAGTCGCATTTGGCAGCACTGCTTTCACCTGCGCTCACCAATGCCGCAGAGCCTCATCTCAATGTCTTTGGTTACAATCCCGAACATACCTATACTGCACAGCACTTCCGACCAACCAGGAAACATGGTAAACAGCACATTCACAGTGGCAGGCAGTCTTTCCTTTTGATTTCTGAAAGCATAGTTTGCAGCAGAGTGCTCGGTCGTATCATGGCGTTCACCGCAGTCTTTTGACACGTGCGTTGAAGGATGTTAATGGGACGAAATCTGACCCACCTTATCTCGTTTTTCTGATGTGGCATCAAAGCTACGCCCTGCTGACAGTAGACTTTTTGGTGCATCTGTGACGAGTAGAACGTGACATCCAGTGAATTAAAAACGAGCCAAAAAGCCGGTGATTACGTTAGTCACAGTCTGGCAAAGTCGGCCCGCCTGCCCACTGGCATCACCACCAGACCACCCTGACAAACAAACGCCTGGGCAGTGGCAAATATGCTGTCGAATGCGGCGAGACGCGATGCTCAGTTCTGACGCTGTTCTCGGAAAGGGGATTGCCATCGGACGGAGCACTTGCCCAAGCCCGCCTTAGACCCCACATCACCACTTTATGACCCACACGTCAGGGGATGGGGGGCTGAGGGACAAAAGGCGTCGGGTCAATGTCAGGATCAAGGTCAGGATGGGGCTGATTTCTGTCTTTTGAAACTTCAGACGTATGGGTGGGCCTAGCAAGCTATAATGTGTAAATGATCCGCACGAGGATAATGACGTCATTGGCTTGCCAAATCTAACTTGCATTTGATCAGTCGTTGACCTGGGTTTAATTGAACCTGGTTCGATCGAGCATCTCGGAAGTCGAAAAAAATTACACAGCACGGCGCAGGTGTAATGGAATGTCTCAGTGGCTGTTGTTTCTTCGACATTCACATCTCTTGTCTGCAATTACCGAACGATGTGAACTTCCATTGCCGACTTCGCTTGTCTGACCTAGGGCTACCGTGGTCGGCGTTAAGGCTATCCTCCCCCAGACATTGCTATGGAACATTGTGTGGTTCTGGGACACTGAGTGGTGGGGTGCAACGCCGCGCCGAGCGCAGGCTCCGTCAAATGACAAACTCCCTTCCAAGACCAGAAAAAGGCGTTGCTCCGCGCTTCCAATCTACGGAAGTACTGCTATGTTGCAAGGGCTCTTTCTTCGGGGCAAAGCTATGTTGCGAGGGCTCTTCCCTCGACGCAAAGCCATGTTGCGAGGGCTCTTTCCTTGGGGCGAAGCCATGTTGCGAGGGGTCTTTCCTCGGGGCAAAGCCATGTTGCGAGGGCTCCGTCCTCCAGGTAAAGCCATGTTGCGAGGGCTCCTTCCTCCGGGTAAAACCATTTGCGAGGGTTCCTTCCTCGGGGCAAAGCCATGTTGCGAGAGCTCTTTTCTCGGGGCAAAGTCATGTTGCGAGGGCTCTTTCCTCGGGGCACATAGTGTCACGGAGAGGGGCGTATTTCGATCCCTTTCTCTCCAAGGCTTGCCACTCTGACAGGTGCCACAGGGCTGGCGTCAGCCACATCGCCGCATATCACACGCAATGCTCTTCTGTTGCTTAGGGTCACCGCAACGCCTTCAACGTAAGGGAGCTCTCAGTTCACGCACAATGCGCACCTCATCAGGAAGCCTTGCCACATTGGTTGTTGTAAACCTTTTATGCGCAACGATCCCGCAGCATGCCTCTGAAGGAGGCCACGCACACACATGCCACGAAGTCTGGACACGTGTTGCCGCTATAGCACCTGGAAACGTGTTCGACACGAACTTTTGTGCCCAGCGCGCAGTCGAGCTTCACATGGGTGCCTGCCATCTGGTCATCTCGCTCAGGATCGTGTCAGGGCAAGACAGGACTCTTGGGGCTGAGCCTAAACCTGGACGCCTCGAGGGAGACTAACAAGAGCGGCTTTCATCTGAATCCTTGCATGTCCAACAAAGATCCAAGGTCGCGCCGAATTTCGTCCGACGTTTACGACAGCGCGAGGCCAAGGAATGAAAGGGAACGAACAAATCGTGAGCAAACTGTGAAGAAATCGTATCAAGTTTATCCCCATAAAATGTGAGCAGCCTTTTAAGCCTGCACTGAAAGCTATCGGATGGTTACTGGTCTATTCTAATTTTGAAGCTGATACAGCCCCGATCTAGTGCTTGTCATGGGCGGAGTTAGTGGTCCTCAGGCCACATTTCCGGAAACACATGGCGTTTTGGCTTTTAACTATATATCTGCGAGCTTCCTACATCCAGTTTTCTATCGCATAGGGGCGAGGTAAACGCTCAAAAAAGAGACACTAAGCTCCATGAGTACCTGTTCGACAAGTCCATGCTTCGTCATGGTGTTCTTTAATCTCCTGCCGCCACTGTGCCTTGCCAAGCACAAGCCCTGTTTTATTGTCCCCACGCGCAGCAAGTGAGCCTTCGTCCGCGTGACCTCTAACCGGTATCTGGTGCCGTGTATTGGTGGTCCCTATGTCAGCTCCTTCTCCCTGTACTGCTAGACTAGCCGGGCGCGGTACCTGTTTTGGCATTGTCTCGCTCCGCACAGTCCATATGGTCTTGCGTCCAAGCGCTGTCCGGTCTCTGCTCTGCTATCACCAAACATCAGCAGTTTCGAATTCGGCCCATGCAGTTCTTGCACCCTGCGCGCTAGCGCGGTCTTGCACCTTCGTCGTCCACCTCTAGTGTGTTGCAGTTCCTTCCATAACGCATCGAAACAGTGCAGTTTCTGCTTCTCCAGCCGTGCATTCTCCATCTCGGCACCTGTCAGCGTCTCTTCCATCACGCTGCAGTCCTAGCTGCCTGGCCGACAAGCCTGCTACAGTCAACGCCTCACTGTTGGGCGTCAGGTTGCGCCTCCTGCGTTCTACGCGGTCTCTGTACACTAGCTGGCCGCTTGCGGAGAGGGGCTGGCAGGCGGCACCAGGCGGTACAGTTCCATGTACTCAGGGCTGTGCAGCACGTCCCTGATCATGGTGGTCAGAAGCATGTAGCGGGGGATTGCTGGGTAGATCTTGGAGGCGGCATACGCGTCCTGTGGAGCAGGGGACGTACCCGCTCAGTAAATGAAGGTACGACAAACGGCAAACGCTCGAAGTACGACACACGTCAGTCACAGGAGACACGACACACTTCAGTCACGGGAGATACGGCACGCTTCAGACACGGGAAGCACGACACACTTCAGTACGAGAGGCACGGCATACTTCAGTCACGGGAGACACGACACACTTCAGTCACGGGAGGCACGACACACTTCAGTCATGAGGGTACGGCACCCTTCAGTCATGGGAAGCACGACATATTTCAGTCACGGGAACCACGACACATGTCAGTCACGGGAGGTTCGACTTACGTCAGTCACCGGAGGTACGACACACGTCAGTCACGAGAGGTGACTGATGCGTGCACCGACAGGAGGGAGGAACGACACACGCCATTTACGTGAGATGCGACATACGTCAGCCACTGATGGCACAACAGGTACGGCGTCGGCCATCCATGACGAAACAGATTGTGCGTCACATCTAAAAAATGTTATCGTTGATAAGCGCACGACGTTAAAGGACATATTAACGACCAGGCATATTGTAAAGACCTGCTGGTGAAATCTCAAGACCACTTATGTCTTATAATAGCCCTGAGCAGTGGGTCTGCAGTACCATCAAGATACACTAAGGAGAACAATTTTAATAATTTTTTAGTCCACAGTGCGCTAGCAGTGTCATCTCAGAGCACAACACTTCTTTCTTTCTTGGTAGCCCCAGAATGAAGCCCGAGTCCGCAACAGCTGCAGTTGTCTCGACTGCCGTCGTCACGACGACCTTCGTTGCCATGACGACAGCAGAACCTGCTGAGGAACGTCGTCAGCTGCTAGGGGCTAAAGGTAACACTTTTGAGCTGCTTAAACCCGCACATTGCAGACCTGTGGGCTTAAAAGTAGCACTTGGCACAAAGTGGCACGCAAAAAGATGGTATGAATCACGTTAGAACGACTGAACGTTTGTGATTGGCGCAGGGGGCGGCAAAGGCCAGTTATCGAGAAGCGCATTGGTTGAGATTTGAACCTGTGCGTCACTTAAGACCATGTAATACTCCGTTTCCCAAAGTCAAAGGGCGCTTCGAAAAAATAAACGCCACGGGAGAAAAATCAAAGTCATAGCATAACATTTCGTTGAATTCGTGTGATAAAAGCTTCATATTTGGACATCTTTTTCTCTTTAACTTCTCTCTGCTTATAACACTGTTTCAAACTTTAGTAGCATTTATTTCGTTAGCGTGCTTACATATCAGTGCATTGTACACATTACAGAACACCCACGTTGGAAAAAGCCAGACAAATAAACCGCACTACGTTAATACTGGTGAGCAGGGAGTCCAATAAAATTTCCCTCGCTGGAAATAGAAAGTGGAATTTCTACTTGAACTAGAAATTCTGAGCTATTCAGAAGTGTTTGGAAAAATCGGTACTACCGTTCAAATCGGACGCGTCTGATCTAACAATGAGTAGAGTGTGCCAAAAAGGCGGCGTATTCTCTTCAAAAGCTACGCCAATACGAAGTAGTGCAAAAACACATTATCCATTGAGGCTTTGAGCTACTAATCGCAGTATTATAAGTCATAGTGAGCGATACAATTTTCATAGATAGGCTAGCTTTCGCAATAGGGAGGATCTGGCATATTTTGGCGACGACAACGCCAGGTTGCAACGCGATGGCGACGGCAGGTTGCTTGGCCGCGGCTGAATGGTAGCTGCCGCGAACTACGACAAAATTTATGACGTGCCTTATGACGGCGTATGGAAAAAGGCGGTTCCACTTTGAACTTTGCACTCCGCGCTCGGCCCTCCTCTCAGCGACTCTAGGAGCTTCGCCACCACCGAACACGATCAGTTAGCTGTTATAGCAAAACCGAATCGAATAAACGAAAGGAAACCAAAACCATCGCGTGGCAATGTTTACTTTGAGGACATTGCGATATTGCATATCAATATATTTATCCAATAGCCAATAGCACTGCACGGTTGTCTGTGAAACTGACTTAGTTACCTTACAACTCAGATTCAGCAAAGAAGATCCAGATTCAGCGGAGCGCGCGAACCTTTCTACTTTTGTTTGTCCAAGACGTAGCGAACGGAATTGTCCGTAAATCCTGTCAGACGGCTCTGACACCGGCTAAGCGCTGCTGCGGACCCGCTGATCGGATCGGACTATGGCCAATCAGCGAGGTCTGGAGGGCAGCTGAGCGGCGGAAAGCTGCCACGTGACCAGACAACCAGCTCTGTCGCGTCTCGCGGCTGCTGATTTTTGGACTGCCTCCGATTCGGCGAAGGAACAGGAAGAAGAAGGGGGGGGGGGGTTGAAGTGGTACCCCATTTGAAAATTTCGGTCATGTGCGCATATCACGTAAGTTGTTCAGTGCATGAGCGAGGAACATTATTCACATAGAGAAAACAGTAGTATTAGCATTATTCCTCGGAGAAAAACCAGGTGAATGGACACATAGTTGGGTTGATATTTCGGCAACATAACTTTGCCGAAAAAATGGAGGAAGTAAATTCAAAATGACTAAATTAAAATATGGCAATTTCGAATTCACTTCTGCTATTTCTTCAATAGAGACATGTTGCGGAAATATGAACCCAGCTATGTCTCCATTCACCTGGATTTTCTGTTTTTTTCTCCGAGGAATAAGGCTAATACTACTGTCTTGTCTGTGTGCGCATATCAAGCTAAATGTGGGTATGACCAGTGGGTATGACCAGTGCCACTGTGGGTATGACCAGTGCCACTGGACAGTTGATCAACAGCTGATCCAGCTGTTGATTATGGCAGCTACTTATATCCTGCGAGAGGTTTCGACAATCGCACCTTGGAGATAACCAGACGCACAGAGAGGAGGGTCGTCGGCCTCTGAGCTGAAAACATCTTCAGCTTGGTACGGCAAATCGCCAGTTTTCTGAACAGAAAGCACGAACTTCTCGTTTCCCGCCCGTTTTCGTCGAAATCATTCGCAGCATTTCAGCATGCATCACACGCGTCCAAAACTACTACCGTACTTGTCTGCATGCCGGCATTTATGTAGCAACACCCTTCACAATATAGGTTGATTCAGCAACGGATTGACTACCACGAATCACGTATTACAGGGTAAAAGACTGGGGACTCACATGCTGGTATTTACGTAGCAACATCCTTTGCAATATAGGTTGCTTCAGCAGCTGCTTGATTACCACGAACCACGCGTTCCAGGGTACAAGACTGGGAACTCCCATGCTGGTATTTACGTAGCAACATCCTTTGCAGTATAGGTTGCTTCAGCAGCGGCTTGACTACCACGCGTTCCAGGGTATAAGACTGGGGACTTGTGTCGCTCGGCGTCGGGTTCGAATCCCTGCGCAAGTGAAATGTTTGGCCCCCTCATGCTATAGTGGCCAGATGGCACCTGATCAGAGGATTGTCAGGCCACGGGTCGACCGTATTGTAGGATTGTATTACCCAGCAAAGACTGTAGTGGGCGCAGCGTACAGATAGCGAGCACTGTTCATCGTGCACCCTGAAGTTTCAGCCACAAATGCCAGCCACTCTAGTCACACCACAATCTGTATTCTACAGATTATGAACGCTAAATGACGCAAAAGACTACCAAGTTGTTAAATGCATTTGCGAGGAACAGTATGAATAAAGATGAGACAACACTGATAACCTTATTCCTCGTGGAATTAAGAGGAAAATGGAAAAATATATGATATTTTGGCTACATGCCTTCATAGAAACGACAGCAGCAGCGGTAACGGTAATAAAATCGGCGTTTTCGTTTCGATAAAGGCATGTGGAAGAAATATCACACCTACCCCTTCATCTTCCTGTTTATTCTACAAGGAATAAGGCTACTTATACCGCCTCATATAAAAGCCTACCTGCTTGTGGATTGTTTTGCCCTTTGGAGTTAATTGATTGGCTTTCTCAACGCCTTCAGGAATCGCCTCTTTAAGCCCGCCGTCGGCTCACGATTTGTTTGATCCTGATCCACCGTCGGCTCGCGATCAGTTTGATACTGATCCGCCGTCCACTCGCGATCAGTTTGATCCTGATCCGCCGTCGGCTCGCAATCAATTCGATCCTGATCCGCCGTCGGCTCGCGATCAGTTTGATCCCCCGCAGGTTGTTACATAATAATTTCCGAACGGCACGTGGTAGCGAACTTTGCATAGATGTAGGCAATCGAATAGCAAAATATTTTGGTATAACAAAAAATTGGAAGTACCTTGTCGCTGACCCATGGCAGGTCAAAGATAGGCAGTGGCTGCCAGCAAAGGCAGTTTCCAGGAAGCCGTTCAATCTGATGTGACAACAGAGCTTTAGAAGAAAACACACGTCTTGATAGCTTCGCAGCTAAAAAATAATTAAGGATGCAACAAATTTAATCGCCATATGGGCAGACATCAAGGTCGGAATGAGGTTGAAACCAACTTGCTTTTTTAACTAGAGGTTGCCGTATGGGGTGGTCTCTGAAGCCCATTTATAATTTATCAGTCACAGAAACACAACAGACATAGTCCATGGACTTCTTGAAGGTCAAAATGGGCCACTAACCTGATATGACCCAGGTCAACATTTTATCTTAATAGCGTATTGCATAGCGTAGTCCTTGACACTCACTCAAATGCAAAAATCAAAATAACCTCATAGGATTTTGGTCGAAGACACTTGTGATGTCCGAGGGCACTTTGGACACAGATCTGGAGGTTGGCCTTGATTCACTTCATTTGAGCGGAATTTCATCACCTAGAAACCTCAAATTTGGACAAAAGTGAATTCTTGTGCGGGCTGATTCATCCTTTGACTTCGGTGTTCCTAGCTTTCTTAATTTTTTAAAACAATTTCAAGGGAGTTGAATGTTCTCCCCCACCCGAGCGAAGGGTATTCAACCGGCCACACGGGAGGGGGCGGGGGGGGGGCACCCGTTTTAAGCAATGTTATCCCCAATCACCAAGCGAATTATTTCGTCACCACGTAGTCTGGGAGTATAACTAGTTTTGCGTTCATCGTATCGGGTCACCAGCATATAGCACTTGGGCGCGGGGGGGTGGGGCTATACGTAATTAGCGACCACAACTTCTTCTTGGGGCTGGTTTTGCCTTTTAAGTGCTGCTCATTAGCCTGCTTACATAGGATTTTATATGGTGCCTGAGAGGCTACGGTGATGGCCATAATAGTCACGAGGTTTCTGACGTCACGCGCCGGATGGCGCTGCTGCCAGGACGTTTTTGTCAATCCGTCAGCAGGAAGAAGGAGCGTTACAAGATGATGTGAATAGCTCTGATAAAGTGCGAGTTAGATGTTAGTGGCTCTGAGTCTGCGAGTGCGCTGCGTGGGGGCACAGGGTATTGGGGGCACTTGTCTAATTTTTCAGGAATACAACATAGGGAAGATGAAAAGGACTTTTGCTGCCTGATGCAAGCCTAAACGTGGGAAGGAAAGTGACAGTGAGTTGGGTGGTGAGTGATTGCGTTCCCATTTAATCAACAGAATTGGAGTAATCCAAGAGATTGGGCGTAGGAGAAAATCACCTCGCGTCCCGGAGATGGGGTCAGGGCAAGTAGGATTTCAATGAAATGATAGTATTTATATCAGTGCATATAGCATTGAAAGCCATACATTTTTCCACAAAATTGGAGCCAACACTAAAATTGAGAAGGGAGTTAAGTTAAACGATATGGAAATGAGAGAAGGCACTCAACTTACGAGTTGGATGCCTGGAAATAATAAACCAGGTATCCCATTTCCATAAACTACGCAGTCTCAGGCCTGAAGAAACGTTAAAAGATAAAGAAAGAAAACGGAGGTAAAGTTAAATATGTTTGCGGACGCTGGCGGACGCCATTATGTTGGACGCTCCGTCAACAGGCATGACGTCACGAATTCCAACTGACAATCGTGCTGACGGCAGATCGAACGCGGCCATGGTGCTGTCCGGCTTCCCTGAACCCACGACTGGTGTGCGGCCAGGCTGCCATATTGTTTGTTTCAACCGCGCCAGTCGCTAATTGGTCCAGACATTGTTCACGATGTGTCATCAGCCACGTAAGATGCGCCTTGTTTGTGGAACGTTAGCTGGACCGCAAAGAAACCACGCGGATAATTACCAATTAGTCCGTAGTCCGCCCCAGTGATCTGTGGTAAAGAGCATGTAAAGGAGGCCAAGGCGCAGTGCAATCATCCCAGAATGCCCGTCTGTTTTGGCCATTGTTGGTCGTGCTCGCGCTTCTTGATATTTAATACAAGAAGGCCTGAATACAATCAGCGGTGGCGCCACCTTTTGGCCCTGCCTGCGTACTGCTCGGCGACCGCAGTCTGGACAGTTTTTACTGGAAAACAATCATCGCCAAATCAGCTATCGCAGCAGCGGAACACGACAGTGCCAAGCCATTTCCCCGCAGCTGCGTTCCCGCGCCAATTTTGCGTGTCGAAGCATCTAACGTTGCGTTTTCGCGCCAATTTTGCTGAGCGATGTATCCAACGGTGCGTTTTTGCCATCGAGAGTTTCGCGACTGTGCCGGTTTTAATTGTGGATAGAGATGTTTCATATTTGTGCAAACCACAAGGTCGATGGTGCGGGATATTCAGCTGGTGATCTATCCATAGCACCTTCACCATGAAAACACAAAAGGACTAATCGTAAACGGTCTCTGTAACTTGGTTCAGTCGTCTCCTCCTGCTCTCCTATCTACGTTTTGATCATCATGTAACCGAATGGCTGTGGCACTGTTGCCATCACCCCACCGACGCTGTCAGTTGCCAGGCAACAGTCACCTCCGCGTCCTTCAACGCACACTAACGCATGCTGAAGACCTCACGTGTGTCATCAGGAAATGGCCGCCTGGCGGTAATGCAGAACTGTTGAAGACGGAAAATCCCTGTGACTTAAAGGCGAGTCCTTCACGTTGGCGAGAACACCCAGCAGAAGTCGGGACCGGCCGTTCGTTCGCACGGGTACTTTGGTGAGGATGGTAGCAGGAGGGCGCTGAGGACTGTTCCTCAATGGTGCCACACAATTAGAGCCTCCACTATGCGCAATGTGTGCTGGGCGTGTGAGCAGCAGAATGTTACCTTCAGCAAGCTCCCTGAAAACCCATTGCGGTGAGGAACCAGAACTAAAGACGTTGTCTCGTGGCGTCAACTCACAGACAGGCCTTTGATGAGTGCTCGCAACGCAGAGTACTTCTTCAGCTGCCTGTAGAGGTCGGTGGTGAGCTTCTGGTTCTCCTGGTGGATCTGGGTAATCGTCAGACCTGCCGAAACCGGTAAAACCATTCATAACCAGACAGACAAATGGTAAAAACAATGGTAAAACCACTCGTTATTCGTCATTCGTCAAATATTGATTTGTCGTTTCTGTCACATGAAATGTTATAAAGCGATTTGGAAAAGAAAGAAAGGGGTCCACGCATTGAGGACATTGAGGCCATTTAAGTCAGGACAGTTCGCCTCATCAAAAGCACAAACTTCCAAAGCACACCAACGCATTGGAAATTGAACAAGGGCACCAAACATACGCTGCATCGCAGGCGAATGCCCTACATTTTTAATGACGCTAACCCAGTGGGCATTTCCGGAGACTCGAAGCGCTGCAGGCTGAAAAACTACGTCAATTCCCAGAGACCGTTTTGGAATACAGCAAATCTCCTGCCATACGGATGATATCTGGCAGGAAGATACCCATGTCCAGCTTTTACTACACCGATGGAGAATCCGCGTAGCGACTGTGTTCATTACTGGCCTATTGTAAGATGCATGTGACTGCCGCTGCCGACGACTCTGTGATACGCACCGCAACGTCCACACTTCACAGTGACTATGGGGTCAGTAAAATATCTGTTGTGCGTGCAGAGTCATGATGCTCAGTTCTGCTCTTATTTTCAGCTGTGAGCATAAACCCGGTATGAAATGCTGCTACATTGAAGGTCCAAAACTCGGCATAATAACATTCAAATCATTATACTAAAATAGAAGGCATTTCGTTTATGGCATATTTGCAGAAAACGAAAACTTCGAACCCATATTTCGGCTGTATTTCATCCCATTTTATTTGTGCGTGCTGCCTGGGAAGACTTCTCGGAAGTGATACCTGTGTGGATGCCTGCCCGTCTCAACTCCATGGAAAACTCCTACGTTTCACGGAATAAGAGGGCTTAGGAACACCTATTGCATCCTGTAAGTGAATTTTGCTTTGCTTAGCAATTATTAAAGGGAGAATGCTAATTGTTGTAATGTGATATAAAATGCTAATTGTGTAATAAAATAAATGCTAATTGTTGTTGTCAGTGTTGCAATCATTCATGCAATCAGTGATGCAATCAGTGGTGCAATCAGTGAGGCAATCACTGATGCCGCAATCTCAGGTCCCACGTCGGCCTGCGGTAAACAATATGCGCGGCTTTCACCGGCCGGTGGCAAATCATCTGCCCGCTTTGTGCGAGTCAACGATGCGGCGCAGGCTATCTTGTGGGGCGGAGTAGTTCGCTATCATCCGAAGATCGGGGAACAGTTCTACATTGGCCTACGAGTACCTACCTGAGGTTGCTTCCCGGACGCCACGGTTCATAATGACGTCAAGCGTCTCTGTCACGCGTAAGCGAACCACTTCAAGGCTTGGAAGGTGTTATGACACACTTACCTCTGACTAGCCGACTGATGCGTTCGTAAGCGAACCGAAAGCTGCTGCTGAGCAGGAGACGCCGTCTATGATCAATGGTGACCCTCACATCCAAGCAGGGCCCATCGATGCGTTCCGTGATTCCCAGCACGCTCGCTTCGTCCGTCTATCGGTTCATTCCCGCTCATGTTCCTCCTGGCTTTTGAAATACTTTAACATAGTTTCAGTAAACCTTGTCACGCCCCCGCGAGCCAATCCGCTTCTCCCCCCCCCCCCCCCCCATTAGCCAAGGGCAGTACCAATGAGGATGGTGAGCAACACATTTACCGTACTGATTCAAAACTATAATATTACGCCCGTTAAATCGCATGAAAAGAATATATCACAATACCATCCGACCTTAGTGTACCGCGGGTTCACTCCGAGTGTTGCGTGCAGAAACGATTTGCGAGAGGCGGAGAAACATTGGTTCCGAAACTCCCGGCCTGATTGTCGGTCTGCCATGCAGGTGTTTCTGGAAATCCACACATAAAACATAGCCTCGTACCGTTTCCTGATCTGCACCAGGAAAGCGTTGCTGGCTGATGGCTTTGGAAGCGAGGTCGAAGAAAAACAGCACTTCTTTGCCATTCCTTCCACACACCGTCCCGCGTCGTACTATTCCACTTGACCATCGCTAGAGAACCCCGAGGCCCCGTCTCTGCGTGCGCCCCTGACCGAGCCATGATCACTTCCTCGGTCGCGGTTCTGCTGCAATAACCGCGACGTGTGGCGACGAGCGCGGGTGACGGGCTCGGCCAGAAGCTGCCAATCCAGGCAGCCCGTCATTCATTTGTGCCACCTAATGAGATGTTTTCACCGCCCGGCGCAGGGAAATCAATCATCCGTCCCCATGGCAACCGGCGGGAAATTGGAATGCACGGTGGCGACGGGCCCGCTTGGTGGACTTCCGCACCGCAGATGAGGGGATGTGGCGTCCTTGAGGCAGGTCAAGGGTAGCTGGCGACTCTCCTGAGACGGGTCAGGGAGGCCAGTTCTGGCTGACAGGGAAGGTGGTTCAACTGGGGCAGGTCAGTGGGTGGCGGATCACTCAGGAGAGGTTCAGGAGCACGGGCGGCGGATCACCCAAGAGAGGTTCAGGAGCACGGGCGGCGGATCACCCAGGAGACGTTCATGAGCACGGGCGGCGGATCACTCAGGAGAGGTTCAGGAGCGCGGGCGGCGGATCACTCAGGAGAGGTTCAGGAGCACGGGCGGCGGATCACCCAAGAGAGGTTCAGGAGCACGGGCGGCGGATCTCCCAGGAGAGGTTCAGGAGCACGGGCGGCGGATCACTCAGGAGAGGTTCAGGAGCACGGGCGGCGCAGCACGGCGTGGGGGAAGGGGGGGGGGGGCAGAGGGAGCAGTTCCTCCGTCTGCCGGCAGGCAGGGGGTTGAATGCCTAGCAAAAATATGTTTCCCCCCCCCCAAATTGCTTTTTTCAAACCAAAGGCATTGTAGCTACACGAAGATTACCACAGACCATAGCGAGGAGTCTCCCTTAGCTGGGCTAGAGCGTATTCAATCAGCTCAGAAAACACTCTCTACACCAAGGGGTCCGTTTACTGGATCATGAGAAGACCTGTATGAAAAGGTAGCCCATAGCCGAGATCAGGAGACCCAAACGCTGTGTCAAGGAAGCCCCTTTGCTGGTCCGGGAGCCCCCCGTTACAGACTAGGAGGCCATGTTCTGGGTTAGGAGGCACCCTCTTTATTTAGGAGACCCCATTTTTGGGACAGTTCTGGAACAGGAGGCCCCTGTCGTGCATCAGATGGCCGCGGTCCGGAATCTGGGCTTCCTGTTTTGAGATAACGAGGCCCCTAGGCTAGATTTGGAGGTCCCTTCGTTCTGGCATCCTGTAATCCTGTAAGGCATCCTAACGTTATGCACCCTGCAAGCATCCTGTTTTGGATTCGGAGGCCACTCTATGCATCAGGATTTCCTTTTCTGGAACAAGAAATCCTGTTTTTGGTTACCGAGACTTTTTGCTTGATAACTAGAATGCCCCTCCCAAATTTGTTTAATCGTTGACATCGGTTTAATCGGTTTAATCGTTGACATTATCTTATTGAATGTGATGAATGTCACAATTTGATAAAGGAGCATATGCCCTTGATATGCCTATCTTTTGAGTGAGACCCCGCCCAGGAGACCCTCTGTGAGGAGGCCCCCATTTTGTCCAGGATGCGTTAAAAATCCTGCCCACTAACTCAAAAACCCTAGCGCCGCCCCTGGGCTGGGAGGGCGACTTCCCAGGACAGGTCAAAGGGAGGTGGCTCCCCAGGTGAGGCCTGAAAAACGGCCCCCCAAGACAGGTCTGGGAAACAGTTCCCCAAGACAAGTCTGGGAAACAGCTCCCCACGACAGGTATCGGAAACGTCTCCCCAGAACAGCCATGGGAAACAGCTCCCCAGCGCAGGTCTGGGAAACGTCTCCCCAGGACAGGTATGGGAAACGACTCCCCAGAACAGGCATGGGAAACAGCACCCCAGCGCAGGTCTGGGAAACGTCTCCCCAGGACAGGTCTGGGAAACGGCTCCTCAGAGCAGGTCTGGGAAACGGCTCTCCTGGGCATGTCTGGGAAACGGCTCCCTCTTTCAGAACAAGTCAGGGAGGCGGCCTCCTGTCTGCAGGAGCAAAAAATCGGCGTCATCGACGTTCACATCGCCAACGCGACACATCTAATCCAGGCCGCGCACGCGGCTAACGTAGAGCCGTATCTCAGCGTGCCGATATCAGCACACGCGCCAGCGCCGAGGCGCGTCTGAGCTGTCTGGTAATTGGCAGACGTCGCCTTCCAGGGCGGTCGGTGATACCATTTACGGCACGGGCGGACGCGACATCCCTAATGAACAGATTGTCCATCGTCCAGTCGATCTACTCGCCATGCTACCCAATCCGCCGATCGGAAATGCAGATAAATTGCGTCAGGGTGTATACAGGAAGTGGGGAAGGGGGAGGGGCGTCCCACGACACGCCTGCCGTGCGCCTGTTGATCGTTCACTTTGAGGCACTCGCCGGGCCTAGACCCAGTGGTGAGACATAGCCGGAGTTTGCGGGATGGCGGCAAGAAGGTGAGGAAAAGTAGTGCCAGTGAGGGGTATGGCGATAATATCGATCCGCACTCGATGTTGTCCTGCTCCAGTTGGTGATCATGCATGCAGTTTTTAAAATTGGTATAATTGTCTTCGCAAAATTAATTCCTGCCTATTAAGTTCGGAGTCGGATACATTATTTTCCATTTCTAGCATAGCATGGAAAGCATTCTTTGCTAGTCAAGGCATAGCATGCACTCATGATGATGATGATATTTTTTTACTGTGCTTCAGCTGCGATGGTGATTTTGCGCCCGTTAATTTGCCTTATAACAAGGCATGGATAGCAATATTTTCTATTCATGGCATAGTATGGCAAGTAATATTTTTCACCTAGCGTGCTTCCAACTGTCTTGAGAGCCTTAAAACGAGGTCAACGAATCCAAGACATTAAGGTTTGTTACCACAAAGGAGATATTCAATCCTGGCTCCAGCGAAATACTTGTGGCCTCAGGAGAATGTTACAGACAGCCAGCCAGACCCTCAAGATTTGTGCCGAGATATTTTAACATTTTTATTTTAATTTATGAATTTGATCCGAGCCCTTCTGAATGGATGGATTTCTGGGGTCAGCGCTCACGCTAAGCAGTGCTTGTTGTGTGAGCTCTGAACCCCACCATCCGATCGCGCAATCCCAGGCAACGGCAGAATTTAGTGGCGAAACCTTAACGTGCCGCAATGCTCGGCACGGTCCGTCCTGCCCTCTGACGTCAATTGACCTTTAGCGCGACCGCTGCTACCGGCCGCAGGCCATACCTGTCAAGGGCAAATAGCGAGCGCCCTAAAGCGACTCGAACCCACCCAGGGTGGGTGGATCGGAAGGCAGGCGCTCTTACCAACTGAGCCACCGGAACGGGCGGGAAATTGTTGTTTTATACAGTTAATTTTTAGTTTTATTTCTATATTTTCGATCATTTCATTTTATGATTATCATCATTATAAATTTATATCATTTTTACAAAAAAAATCTGAGGCAAAAACACTACTCTGAAAATGTTTTGAGACGTCACCGTTGAGCCTATCTTGTTTCAACCAAGTTATTGAGAACTTATACATTATCCAAAGACTACGCTTAATATGATTGTTTCATTATGTACGGCTACGTTGCATGAAGGTTGGACACATATCTGTGAAGCCCTATGACACGAAGCTCTAAAGTAATAAATGATTACCGCTGTGTTACTGCAAACAATCTTTCGTGTTTCAATGTTTTAAGGCAACATCGCATTTTATCTAGCAGTTTTGCTAAACCTGCCGTTAACTTTGTCGCAGCTGTGGCTGTTGTAGCTGTGGTTAAGTGAGCTAAATTTGCATATTTGTTACTTTAGGGTGTAAGCAATCTACAGGCAAAATCCTAAATGCAGAAGTAGTCAAGTTTTAAAAGCAAAGCTCAATCCAATTTCAAGAAGACAAATGAAATAATCATGGGCCAACGGACAACTTGAAACCAATTGTGGGCAAACCAACGTGTGGCACGTGGGTTACAGCATTCCTTCGTAAGGGCTGCCCCACGTGGGTACACATAATAATAGCGTGAAATAAACCTGACAAAGATATATATTTTGCAGCGATCCGGCACATCACGCATAGTGCATCGGCTGCTTTTTCGAGCATTACCGGCGCTTCCATTAAGGCATTTTAGGCACTTTCTAAATCAGTTTGACAGCACATGCAAGTGCTTTGTAAAAAGCATCTCATAACCTTAGATAGGAAAACAATTTCGTTCGCTTCAACTCATTTCAGCGCATTTTGTAGTGTCAACGTATCTAGATGACAATCGCCTGCGCAACAGTCAAAATGTGCTCTAGCCTTTTGCATGATAACGCGCACATTCGGTGATGGTATTTTAGTCGCATTTCACACCGACTTACCCATTGGAGATATAATCTCGTTACCTACCAAGAACTTCGACAATAAGGGATGCCTGACCCAGCCTAAGCCAAAGTGTGGAGCTAAATGTCTTGGCTAGGATCAAGATTCCGTCAACATCTTGGCGAGACGTCGACATCGTTAGCTTAAGTATCTGGTGTCACCACCTGCCCTTTAAAATGGCGCGTGCGAGTGTTTTTGGCGACGTCAAGAGTGAGCATGATAGGCAATTCGGTGTTCTGAACGGCAGTTATTGTATATTTAATAACAGTAGTAAATATTGAATGGCAGAGCTTAATTGGTTGGGAGCACGTAGAAACAAACCCATGCTTCGACATGATGTATATATATATATATATATATATATATATATATATATATATAGGTTATACATTGACGTATAAATCATCCATATAAACTTTAAAATGCATATGCATATATACCTTGCATGAAACTTTATATAAGATTTATTAAAGACACAGATTTAGATTATATACTTATAAATGTACGCATAAATCCATACATATGCCTCCCCTACATCAGGCACAAACCCAGAATTTCCTTCGGGGTGGTTAAATGTTATTCTAAACAATGGAAATTTTGATGACTTAATCAGAAATCTCCCAATATTTAGTACAGGGGCGTGGTTTCCCAGAATTAATTTCTTGGGGGGGAGGAAAAGTAAAACATGACACAATTTACCAACAACATCACCAAAATCAGGTTTTTCCTGGCTTTAGCACAATCTCCTCTCAAATTGGGGGCTGGAGCCCAAGTTGAGCGGCTGGGGGAAGGGGGGGGGGGGTTGAGGCCCCCAAAGTGGATAGTAAAATACACCACTGATCTGGGGTAAGCCTCTTGCTCAGGTGAAGGGGATTGACTCTTCCCTTAGCTACGTTCCTGGCCGGGATGACCAGCACCTGTGTCAATGCCCAAGCTGAGCTCACTGATTTCAAGTGATTTATAGTGGTTCACAGGTTTCAAGTCAGTGGGGTATGAGGGCAGGCTTTTCTTCGGGCGCCAGATGACCAGTGCAATTAGCACATCATAAAACTCAAATCATCATCACGACTAAGCTTCGATCCAGCGATCTGGAATAATGTGTGCGCCCTTGAAGCTTTGAAGCTCTTTTGGAGGCGTGAAGCTTGTCGTTCAACACGTCTACTGCATCAGCCTCTCCTCAGAGAAACCCAAGCATAAATGCGTTGCTTCACAGATTCTGTCTTTTTGATATTATAAAGAAAATACGGGGATTTAAACGATTCAAAAATAATTTTCAAATCGATGAGTACATTAGCACTATAAGAGTCATCAACACACGAGTGACCCTCTCTAATGACTTTACACATCCCTTGTGATTAACCTGAGACAAGTGATTTCACCTTCCTCTTCCTGTATCTAGTGGGATCCTCTTAATAGCAGTTAGAAGCGTCACTATGAATCACCTCAGGTGATTATTTTAAAGAAATTAGTCCTTCTGTATTGGGACGAGCAGTCCAACTACTTCACCTATACCCGACAGAAGCAAAATTCTTAGAACGTCTGACAACGTCCTCCAATAACACGCCTAACTCTTCCTATGTTTTTTCAGTCATCAGGTTGTCAAGAAAACGCATTGTTAGGAGCAATCACCAAATTTCAAGGCCGAATTTCTAAAATATTTGAAACTTGAGCATTGAAACCTCCGGACGCTATATCAGCCCCTTCACAGACAAAAAACAAAAACAAAACAAAAACGAAGCTGCTTAGCGAGTAACCCCAGGATGTCACAAATCATCTAACCTGCGTCCACTTACCATAAGCCCCAGGTCAGATATCAACGTACCGCAGGTCACTAATCTAGTATGCTCAGGTCAACCACCAGACGAATAGAATGTATTCGTGCACTGAACCCACTCCACTTCTCTGTTAACCCCGGTTTACATATCTACTAACCCCAGCTCACTCATACTCTAACGACAGCTAGCTCAGATATTAGCTTCACATCACTCGTCTCATTACCCCAGACCACTCGTCTATTGACTTAAGGCCACTTATATTATGACTTAATACCACTCGTTTATTGACCTAATACCACTCGTCTGCTAATCTCAGCCCAATCATCTATTCACCCCAGGTCTGTCATCTATTTATCTCAGATCACTCATCTCTTGACCCCAGACCACTTATCTCATGACCTCCGACCACTCATCTTTTAACCACAGAGCACTTATCTATTGACCCCAGGCCATTCATTTTATGACCTCAGATCACTCATCCATTGACTCTAGCCCACTCATCGTATGAACTCAGACCACTCATCTTTTAACAACAGACAACTCGTCTATTGACCCCCAGACCACTCATCTGTTAACCACAGACCACTCATCTAATGGCCTCAGACCACTCCTGACTGACCGTCCAGCCGATCGATGAGCTCCAACTGCTCCTCGTCCGTCTCCTCGCCAGCACCATCTCGCGGCGCCTTGGTCCGCTCCAGCATGGAGCAGGCGCGCAGGACGTACGCTGGCAACGGCTCCGTCTTCTCCTGTCGGGGCACTTCCACCAGCGCCCAGTACTGGGTCTCCAGGCGGATCACCTCCTGGAACCAGCAACGAACGGTCAGGTCACCTTCCATCAGCGGCTCCGTCTTCTCCTGTCGGGGCACCTCCACCAGCGCCCAGTACTGGGTCTCCAGGCGGATCACCTCCTGGAACCAGCAACGAACGGTCAGATTGCATTCCATGACGGACATTGATATATATATATATATATATATATATATATATATATACCTAAACTTTTGCTTTCTTTACGTATACGTATGAGGCATCCAAAATCAAAACTCATTTGGTTATCAGAAGTATTTGTAAAGGAAGTGAACTAGTAGTGGACGAAGCGTTTTGGGTCTGCTCCTTTATTAGCCAAGGCGGTTAAAAGATATTTGCAGCTTAATACCTTTGTTTCATCTGAAAACGCCGACGACTTGGCGAAGCCAACGTATTTGGCAAACTGGACCACCCATTTGTAGACAAGATATGAAATGAAAGAGCTAGACTCCACAATGTACTGAGTATTTGAAGCATTTTAATTTACCTCAAAAGTCATCTTACCATGGGATCAGAAAAAGTTTTTCTACACAATTCCTTTAAACTACCAGTATGTGAACCAACGCCCCGATGCTTAAAAAATGCTGGATTGTCGGTCTCCTCTTAACAGCAAGCGACCTCACTGCCATTGGGAGGTGTAGCAGTACTTGGAGTTTGAACTTCTGCACTACGAAAGGCGTTTATGCCTGTGTATACCATAACTTTACACCTGTTTAGTTCTACCGCATGCATTAACGGCCTGACAGTGAAGTCGCAATTGGTCCAGCTCAGCTTCACGGTTATTAAACCTCAAAAGGGAGCAATAAATCTCACAGCCAAATAACACCGGTGTGGGCGATGGACTGAAAGATTTAAGACTTGGATTTAAAGATTAAGATTTAAGATAGGCTAGCGTACGCTGGGCAATACATCCTGGGAGGAATTGACGCATCGAAACTTCGGTATTTTGTGGAACGCCGGAGGAAAGGAGACCACTATTGCTATGTGCTGTTGGTCCGCATCATCCGCTCCACTCAAAGCCGTCTTTTTTAGATCGCAGTCATCAGGGCGATTCTTCACAATCTCAGGCCTAAGAAAGCATATCGGTGTCTATGAATAGCATGGTTGCACGACGCCGGCAGGAGTCGGCCACGTATTACATTTACGCCTACCGACCTCAGTGCCGTTAGTGACGCACCGTGCATCGACTGCAAGACTGCAACACCCACAGCTGGCATCACATCCAGTGTCAATTGGAAATACTTGCCCCGCAGTTTAGCAACGGCGCCAGAATGGGCACCACGCTCAAAAACCTGCGACGCGCAGGCTCAGTTGGCGGTGTTATAAGAAGCTAAAGGCTTCGAGAGCCAGCGCTAGCGAAGAAGCCCGTGCTGTGAAGACTTACAAACGTTATGTACGAGAAGTGCTACTTGATATTGGCAAAAAGGGTCGAGCTCCTGGTTTTTCAGCATTAGTACGGGTTGGGAGCTCAGATGGTGGGAATAGTCGACGTTCAGTCTTCCAAGAGGAATTGGCTAGACAGCGTTACCATGCCTGCAAGAGGACCGAAATTAAGAAGTGTGGTCGTTTCGAGGCTTTACTCATGGCTACTAACGAACAAAGCTAATCACAAAACCAAAATTACCTCATTAAGGCGTTGACTTAGTTCTCCAGAAGAGTTCAGAGTGTTGAGGAGAGCTAGGAGGAACCCGGTCCACCAAACAGGTAATCGTTGGAAAGGATTAGAAATCATGGCGTTCACATATTAAATGCAAATGAGCATCAGCGAGTGGTCGTGACGCGTCACTTAGTCTTACGCTGCCGGGCATGGAAATACGCGCATTGAAAACTTCAGCATCTTGGCTCGCTCTTCGTCGGCGAGAGTCAAACTCTGAGCTCTCGATCATCATCAAAACATGCGGCACTAACTACCGACGATATACGGAGTTGCATTTTCTATTCGTCGTCATAACTCATCATTAATTTTCTTGTCGTCTGGTGTGCCCAACCCGATTTGGGCCGCCATCAGGTCATCCACTACCAACCTGCGCCTCCAGTGACGTGAAAGAAGGCGATGCCTGAGGACGTTGAAACCTGCACACGATGACCAATCAGCGATTGAGCCGCTGCCTGACGTCATAGCCAACCGGCACTGGGGCTGCCACATTGACGTCATAGCCAACCACCGGACGGCGCTGGCGCTGCCACAAAATCGCGCCAACGCGTCCTCAGGCGCGGAGAAGAGACCCTGACGGAGCACCCCGATATCCTGGCAATGATTGACTGCAGAAGCCGTGCTGAAGGTGCTGCCTGCCTGACATGGAGGATCATTTAGCTGATTTGACATTTCGAAAGCGCGCGATATTGACCCTTATGACGGACGTGTGGGGCTGAACGACTACGCGGTACAATTATGCATGCAAGTCGCGGCGCAGTCCGACGCGCCGCGACAAAAACGCCAGAAATGACGAAATATGCCTGTTGCCAGGAAACTAAGCCCGTTTTGATGAGCATTCCAATCGTGAACGTGGCTGCACGTTACTCTAGCACCACCGAGGGTAGCCGGTTGTGGAAAAGGTAATACAATAAGAGCGTTCCTATTTCATGACCTAGCCGTCGGAAAGGAAAGTTAGGTTGCAAACCTGATCAATCGCACCCAATGATACCTCGGCTGAATCCTGTCATCTAACTACCTTTTAAAATGTCCGTGCACACGTACTGATGACGAATGGAAAATGTTGTGCAATTTCTCGTCTATCAATTAACATCTACCTGTATCTATAATGATGTTGAAAAAGCACCTTAAGCTTACATGCCTGCACAACATATCTCAATTAAATGAGGAATAAGTAATCCTTATATATATATATATATATATATATATATATTGACATCATGTGTTGTTCATATAACCAATAAACATGTTGCCTATAATAGTTATGATTAGTCCTGTATGGTCTTTCCAATTCATCCATAATTATTCATCCCCGCCAACGAAGGATCCGTTATGGGTGAACATCAAGAATTAGGGTTAACTTGGAGAGTTTGTAAAAGACTCAATATAATCGTTATACGCTTGCCCAGATCTGTTTATATTTGCATCGCTGCGGTTAGGTTACAGTTACAGCGTCGTGGGTCCCTCGTTTTCATGCTACTAAATAACATGCTACTAAAGCACCAAAGCGAGCTTCCGCGACAGTAATAATTCTGACCTGAAGACAATGACCGAACGAGGCGATCCCTACAAGTGACGGCAAAAAGTTCCTAACGCTAGAAATGATGGCTGACCTGACGACGGTGACCGAACGAGACCATCTCTACAGTTGACGGTAAGACATCACTTACGCTAAGAATGATGGCTGTCCTGACAGTCGTGACCGAACGAGGCTATTCCTACAGGTGACGGTAAGATATGCCTGCCGATGGCATACTGACTGCATTGATTGATGGTGCGTGGGAGGGCCGATAGCTCGACGTAACGCTGCCGACATCTCAGCCAAGGACCTCATACCTGAGGCACTCGGCTGTCACGAAGCGCCACATTGCTAATTGAAGCCTGGTAGCGTAAATACGCAGTTATGACAATAAATATGGTAATAATAAAAACATAGGATTAATATAAACTACTAGAATAAATTAAGAGAAACATAAGATGAAAGCATTAATATAGTTCACAGTACGGTGCATTGCTTACAACTTAAGACCGTGCGTTAAAAACGTCCTGTGTGTCCGGCAGCGGTGCACGTTCTCGCACTCACCCACCTTAATCATGAGCTTCATCTGCTTGTAGCGGGTGAAGACGTTGCCTCCCTCCTGGGCGCCGTCGTATTTGTTGTGCAGGCCGAGGAGGGCCTCCTTGGCCAGACAGAAAGACGAGTCGAGGAGACCGCTGACCTTCCTGAGGCGTTCATTCAGCACGATCACCTCCTCGCGCGACTGTCCTGAAGAGGCGTCAGGCCGTTTGATGACGTCATCGGACCATCGCACATGACATCACAATATGTTCCGTAAGAGGCTGAGGTTCACCGATTCGCGGCGAGCTGAGGGGGAGGGGGAGGGGCTGACTAATATCTCATGAGGCATCTGACCAGCCATGAGAGTCATGGGTCGGTGACCATTTCCTGGAATGCCATACGCTGCAAGAGCAAAACCGGCATTGAACAAATTATACGAAATTCGCTAAGGTAAATGCATGAAGAATGCGTGAAGAATCATCCTCGCTGAATATACGTGGGCGGCTATCACATTTGCCTATTTCATGGCAGGTGGTGCTGGGCGACATGGCCCAGAGCTCAGCTTACCAAGAGTCGGGCCGGAAATGAGGTCAGTATGATTGGTCGTTGCTTTGACATTTTCCGGGGAAGCTCTTTATTGTGCTAGTATGTTTCTCAGATGCAATCCAAGGCATGAAGTGTTGGATGTCTTTGTGGCGCCACATGCTCAGGATGCGTTGAAACCAAAGCGCCACGAGTCCTTTTTCTGCGCCAATTTGATAAGTAATTAAAAAGAGAAACCGCATGGAAAAGTATGCTAAAATTGAACTGTTATTGAATGATTGTACATTACATTCATGACATACTGAATGTGAGGATTTTCAACATGAGCAAGATGTAACACTTCTTGCTTTAAAAATTACCATAAACCGTATATACATTTCGTTGTTCAACGTTTTGTCCTCCAAACCTCGTGACGAAACATTTAATTTCAGTTTTAGTTTGCGATACCAAACCTCGCATTATATAATTCATAAACTAGGCACGCGGAACATGTCCTTTGGGAATGCATTCTTGCGTTTAAGATCTTAAGATGGTTACTGTTCATCCTTATCAAGGGTCTGTATCACCACCTGTATCATAAAACTTTAAGGTTTTGCGCTCGCTAAAAATAAGGTGGCATGCATGTGCAAATAAAACTTCTCCATTTACAATTGTATTTATTGCCAATTTTTATATTTTGCGGTATTTTTAACGTCTATGTCTCATATCCTGCTCAGTGGTTAATGCTGATGGCGCTAAAGAGACGGGTTAGGCTGTGACCATCGGGTCAACTGACTTCACAATGTACGTTTTACCAAGCACTCCTTTCATTTGCCTTTTCAGGTGTGTAAAGTCAGCTTGTAAGCAGTGTTACTGTAATTGTTGCAAATGTTCCGCTTTGCTGTGCTGAGTGCAAGGCAAAAGTAACAACGTGTCAGGAAAACACGTATATTTCATAACAGGTGTAACATGTTCCACAATCGGTTTTGTAATTGATGCAAAACGATCAAATTAAATTAAGACGTAAGTGTGCATCGGTTGACCTAATGTTGAACATTTCGAAGCTGTTAGGTCAGCACCTATTGGTGAAATTCATTACTGCGATCAGTGCATATCCTTAGCAATGCATCTTGCGGAAGCCCGCACCGCACCATCTGAATGTGAAATTCTGGGTTGGCGGGAAAATTTTGCACCAAAATTTTAACGTGCTGTGGTAATTAGCAAGGTCCGTCCTGTTCTCTGACGTCACCTGACCTTCATCGTGGCCGCTGCCACCGGCCGAAGGACATACCGGTCAGGGGCAAACAGCAAACGCTTGAATGGTTCGAGCTCACACCGGCACGGGTGGCTAAATCGGAAGGTGGGGGGAGGGGGGGGGGGGGCTGCCAGCTGTGACGCCTAGTTGCCATCCTTACAGACGGACTCAAATCGTAAACTTGTCTTGAAAGAAATAAGTCGTATCGCGACGTTCAGATGATTCAGGCAAGTGCAAGTATGGTCACCACAGTACCTGTATGGAATACAGTACTTGATGACATAATCGGAGAAGGGGCTTGGTCTATGGCTGCAGCTGGCACTCGGCGATTGCGTTTTCTTTCCACGAAGGAAACCACAAATTTTCCCGTAATTCAAGCTTTTTTCTCAAGCACGGCTCTTGAAAAGGATAAAAATCTGCGTAGGACGTCGGCGCTTTTCAAATGACTTTGTGGCACTCGTTCCGGTTCCTTCAGCCCCTTCCATTTCAGCACTGAGATTCAGGGTCACCATGACCCGGGTCAATTTTTGGGTCATGAAGAAAAGTGCCTGGGACATGCGCAATAGAGAGCAACGACTCCCAAAATTGGTAAAATCTACTGTTTGCCCCCTTTACCTTCGGAGAAATATGTTACGTGGAAACTATGACGCTGCAGATTAAAAACCGCATTTAAGAGGCATTATTTTCATAGACTTTTGAATGTTTTCGTGTGCATACATGGATATGACGAAATCACGCAATGAAGCAGAACACCCATGAACGTTACTTATGTACTTCCGGGCAGCGTGAGATTTCCTATTTTAAAATGAGTCCTTCCCTCTCTCTACAGGCCCCCCTCATTGTATTTAAGAAAGAAGGAATAATGATCCAAAGAGATGGACACAAAATTTCCTAACTATTGGTACCCTATTCACCCAAACGGATTACCATGAGCCTCATATTTATTTTGTACCGAATAATATCCTGTATGTGCCTAGTGTTCTTGTCGTGCTAACTTTTTCAGATGTCAGGGCAGTCTGGAAATGTCTCACACACTTTCCACATGACGACACCCAAGTTGGATAAAGGACAATTGATTACAATATGTGGCAGCTTTTAAAAGCACGGTGTGGCCCACACAAAAAATATACTCCTGCATCACATAACAGTGGCAAGTGTATCCGTCGCATAGTCGTCACTATGGTGCTATTCGATTGTCAATAAATGGCAAAACACGATAGGCGCTAGATATAGTCATAAGTGATTCTGCATCCATCAAATCGTGGCACAGAAGATGCCAGTTTTAACAAACATGTACGCACCGGTGACTTTAAAATACAGGTACATCATGGCAGTGTACTCCAAAATTTTGCACAAGCTCTCGCCGGTGCGTGCTCGCCACGCTTTTCTGCATAAAATCTTCTTGTGACTCGGGTTTGTTTCGACGACCGATAAGCGACAAACTAAACGAGAGCCTGAGTTACAAAGCTGTTTCCTTTGTGCGGATGATGCACCATTCCAACCGTATCGCAAAGCTGCAGCTTCAAATCGGTCAGAAAGGGAAATTCGTTTCTTCGCAGCGAAAATGCAACCAACGTAATTCACAAATATAATTATCACATCTGGAACGCAAACCAAAGTGGCCGAAATCCGACGAGAAATTAGATACTGGGGAAGGTTAGGCCGCCCTATCGGCTCAGTCCTCGAGGTCATTTCAGAAAGTGACACCCCTAGCAGACTCCAGCCTTCATTCACTGCCTTGTTCATGGTTTCAGCTTCTGGTTTTTCCCGCAAGCGCTACCACATGTCCGATGCGCATCTGCTTACACCGTTGAGGTGCTATCAGTGCCAGTAAAAGCATTGACTGGATGCACCTTTGTGGGTCAAACAATGTGTAGAAAATCCGGATCAGTTGAAGGTCAACGATAATACCTGCTGATATGATATGTTGATGGGTATCATGATATCTACTATGATATATGATCAGTCAGTAACAACTACTGATCAACCTGGACAGCTCCATGATGTCATTCAAGAAATTCGTTCTCACACTGAACATGCACAACACACTAACAGCGGCCGCGATGCTCGTGGTTGGTATTTTTGACATTCACTGCTGTTGGTCATTAAAGAACATATCACAATCCAATTACCAACAAGTCACATAGGCTTTTGCCATGTCCACATCCGACAGTTCTGATGCTGTCCGTTGCGTCAGGTAATGCGTTTTGGGCGGGCTCGATTTATGGCGGAAATTAAGCGTTTTGACAGGGGATCGCCAACTGAAGCCTCATTTATTCCAATGGTCGCGGGTAAATCCATGGAAGAACTGCTGCTGTTGCTGGGCCAGCTGCAAATTAGTGTTCCGTCGATCGTGAGCTGTTGCCGGGTCGTCTTTGAATAAATTATCGGTCATCTTTGGGCTGTTGCTGGATCGCTACTGATCGCTGTTGCGCGAAGTGATGACTTTTTCCGCACCGACTGCCCCTTGTTACGACGTTTTGCTTTGTAACCTGCTGTTGGGTGAAACATGGCGCGTCCAGTGATTTCGTCCACTGCGGTTGGTACTCTGGTCTCTCTTAAGGGTCTTGCCATTGATTCAGTATTTTTATTCTTCCGTAGATTATTTTTGTTGAGTAAATCACCGACTGCTGACTGCAAGTTATTATGCCCAGGACTAAATAGCGATACGGGGGGTTAACGTTCCGCGCGCCGACTGCGCGTCATGGTGGTGAACGGCAAAGCCGTGTTTACATAACATCCCTCTCACACACACCACAACACACTTGAACAGCTCCCCAGATTTCTTCCTGGCAACCGGTTCCTGGCTCCTGCAGCTTTGAAGAGGTTGGAATCAGGAACTGCCCTGCCATGATTGCGCCAGATTCGGTACAGAGTCCGCTCCAGCGCTGCATTAAGATGTAGTGCTGCACCAAATCCAACATGAGCCGCGAGCCAGTCCGAATATACGCCGGAGGATTCGGCCTGGAATTATTCCTTTTAAACAGATCATACTTGGGATATGGTGCAATCTGAATTTGATGAATGGTTGTGTCTTTAAATTGAGTTTGATTGAGGGATCCACAAAATTCAGATCCCGCCCGTGATTTTTGTCTACCTGTGTCTTACGACCAAAGAACTGTCTTGTGACTGAACCATTCGGTGGGATTTTTTTGTAAAGATCTTCTGTAGCCTTGGATATAGCAGTGAGAGGGAGCGTCTTTCTATCCTCTGGAGGCCCAAAAGTTTGTTGCGCCCTCGTGACGTAGAACGGTGGGCAAAACGTAAGGCGTGATATGCAATTTTTATGAACGTACCGTTGGAAGCAAAGGTTCAGGGCTGAATTATTTGCAAAACATCACGCTATAACCAGGATCCCTCAAGTTGGTTTAACTGCAAAAAAGGGAACCAGGATCCAAAGTATCTCTTCAAAAAGAGCCAGTTAAAACCG